AAAAAAAAAAAAAAAAAAAAAATTTAAAGACGACAATATCTGCTAGCGGTGGGCTTGAACCGTTAGAAATGGTATAAGAGTTAGGTTCTGAGTGATGTGACCAATGAGGAAGCTGAGTCCTGAAGGATGGACACTGGGCGATGTGACTAACGAGGAGGCTGAGCCCCAAAGAAAAGTTGATTGGTGGGTCCCACATCGATAGGAGAAGGGAACGAGTGGTAGTAAGGACGCTAGCCCCGAAGGGTGGTGGATTGTGAAATCTTACATCGGTTGGAGAGAAGAATGAAGGGTTTGTTTAAAAACCTTGAGTGGAAACCGAGAAACGTGATGTGAGTAGAGCGATATCTACAACTTTCTAAGATATTCTACTTAATTCTAAAAGTTCTAAGTACTTACAAACATCTAAATAATTGGCTCGAACTCTAAGTAGGCTAATTAGTCGTTTTGAAAATTGGGCTCTCACAATTATTGAGTTTGATCTCAATGAACTAGTGATGATATTTTAGCAAAATTTTTAAAATCAAATAATTATCGAACAATACCATTATTTATTAGGGTTATACGAAAATTTGTTTGTAGGAAAGAAGAAGAGACCATCAATGAAGTTGTGAAGCATGTCTTCAACAAACTACGACCCGACTTGTTTCGATACAATGAAAAATTGGTCGGAATCAGCTCAAGATTACACCAAGTAAATATGCTTTTAGGAATAGGTTTAGATGACAAGCGATTTGTTGGAATATGGGGAATGGGTGGAATTGGTAAGACCACCATCGCTAGAATCATTTACAAAAGTGTATCCCATTTGTTCGAAGGATGTTACTTTCTAGATAATGTCAAAGAAGCTTTAAAGAACGAAGGCTTAGCTTCATTACAAGAAAAGCTTCTAACAGGAACCCTAATGAAAAGAAACATAGAGATCCCTGATTGTGATGGAGCTACATTGATGAAAAGAAGAATAAGCAATCTAAAAGTTCTAATAATCCTCGACGATGTCAACCATATAAGCCAACTCAAGCAATTAGCGGGGGACTATGATTGGTTCCAACCAGGTAGCCGAGTCATCGTCACGACACGAGATGAACATCTCCTGATATCGCACGGTATCGAAAGACGATACAACGTCGAAGGACTTAATATTGATGAAGCTCTTGAGCTATTTTCACAAAAGGCATTTAGAGAAGATCATTCAAAGAAGGGGTTTTTTGATCTTTCATGCAAAGTTGTAGACTATTGTGGAGGGCTTCCATTGGCTATTGAGGTTCTTGGATCGGCTTTACGTGATAAACCAATGAAGGATTGGGAAAATGCTGTGGCTAAGTTGAAGGAGGTTCGTGATTTGGAAATTCTTGAAAAGTTGAAGATAAGTTATTATATGTTAGAGAAGAGTGAACAAAAGATTTTTCTAGACATTGCATGTTTCTTCAAGAGGAAGAGTAAGAAACGAGCAATTGAAATTCTTCAAAGCTTTGGATTTCTAGCTGTTCTTGGGCTAGAAAAATTGGAGGAGAAGTCTCTTATTACTGCACCACATGATCAGATTCAAATGCATGATTTGATTCAAGAAATGGGTCAAGAAATTGTTCGTCAAAACTTTCCGAATCAGCCCGAGAAACGAAGTAGGTTGTGGCTTCGTGAGGACGTGAATCTCGCCCTTAGTCGTGATCAGGTACTGTTTTTAGGTTAAATTATAACTCGTTTGATATAAATTGTCTTTTCTAAGTTTATTATTCCTGAATTATTACTTTTATGTCATGCATATCGTATTAGGTTGTGGAGTTTGATGTTTACTTATAGGTTAAGTTTGCTTAAGAGTTAAAAAATCATTCTCCTATTTAGTTTTTAAGATGATTTTTTATATATTCTCCTATATCGTTTTTACGATGGATTCTCTATTACCACTTATATTTCTCCCTGTGTTTTCTCTTTTTTGTTTTCAGTGTTCTTCATCTAGATCGAGTGTGTGAGCTGTGTGATCCTAACAGTGTGTTCTTAAACTGTAAATTTATCTTATACATTAGAGATTCATTAGATTGAGTGGGTATATTCTCGTGTTCTCGAATGTAGATCGAGTGGGTATATTCTCGAATTTAGTTTTTAAGAAGAATTACCTGTAACTTGAAGTCATCAATATAAACCTCTGGCCGCTGTAAAGTTTACCATCCTGATGTTACTACGTACATTTTGTCTCTTTGTTTAATTTATGTTTCTAGGTGTGTGAGTGCGATCAATCTTGCTTCCCTTTTTGTACAACACATTTCTCCTTGCGTTTTCTTTCTTGTGTTCTTTGTGTTCTTCATCTAGATTGAGTATATGATTGTACGATCCTAACATGTTCTTCATAGACATAAAATGTGGATTTTTCAACGATCTATTTGATATTTTGACAATGTTAAGAGTTTCGGGATCTATTAAATAGATTTTAAGCTACAATTATCGGATAAACCTCTAATCTTTGCACAAACTATACTTGTTTTAACCTTTTTTTTAGGGAACAGAAGCAATTGAAGGCATAATGATGGATTTGGATGAAGAGGGAGAGTCACACTTGAATGCCAACTCCTTTAAGGCAATGACCAATCTAAGAGTATTGAAACTCAACAATGTTTATCTTTCTCAAGATCTTGAGTACCTCTCCGACCAGCTTAGGTTCCTCAATTGGCATGGATACCCTTTAAAGTTCTTACCATCAAATTTCCATCCCACAAACCTTTTGGAGCTTGAGCTCCCTAGTAGCTCAATTCACCAACTTTGGAAAGATTCAAAGGTACATAAATCCTAAATTTTAGTTACGTTTTATTGTGATGTCCCACATTGGTTGGGGGAGGAGAACAAAATACTCTTTATAAGGGTGTGAAAACCTTCACCTAGCAGACGTGTTTTAAAGCCTTGAGGGAAAGCCCGTAAGGGAAAGCCCAAAGAGGACAATATCTGCTAGAGATGGGCTTGAGTCATTACAAATGGTATCAGAGCCAAACACCAGACGATGTGCCAACCTTCTTGCTCTTCCCCAAAGGGGGTAGACACGAGGCAATGTCCTAGTAAGGATGCTGGGCCCCGAAGGGGAGTGGATTGTGATGTCCCACATTGGTTGGGAAGGAGAACAAAACACTCTTGATAAGGGGGTGGAAACCATCTCTCAGCAGACGCGTTTTAGCCTTGAGGGGAAGCCCGTAAGGGAAAGCCCAAAAAGAACAATATTTGCTAGTGGTGGACTTAGGTCGTTATATTTATACTCTATTATAGCATCTATTGTAGTGTTTTTCGTATGCTATTGTATCCATTATTTATTGGAGTGTAAATTTGTTCCAAAATGACAAATTACTTCTTTTTTTTCTTTGCAGAGATTTGATACATTGAAAGTTATAAACCTAAGTGACTCCAAATTCCTTTCCAAAACCCCTGATTTTTCTAGGGTTCCAAATCTTGAAAGATTAGTCTTGAGTGGCTGTGTAAGTTTATACCAACTACACCAATCTTTAGGGTCTCTAAGGCATCTAATTCAATTGGAACTCAAAGATTGCAAGCAATTATCAAACATTCCCTTCAATATTTCCTTACAATCTCTCAAAATTTTGGTGCTTTCTGGCTGTTCAAGCCTCAAAAACTTCCCAAAAATCTCAGGAAACATGAACAATCTATTAGAGCTTCATTTAGATGGAACATCCATTAAAGTTTTGCATCAATCAATAGGTCATTTGACAGGACTTGTGATATTAAATCTCAAAAATTGCACCAATCTTGTTAAACTTCCAAGCACTATTGGCTGTTTGACATCATTGAAGATACTCAATTTGCATGGCTGCTCCAAAATTGATAGCATTCCGGAGAGCTTAGGCAATATTTCTTGTTTGGAGAAGCTTGATGTTACTAGTACTTGTATAACTCAAGCTCCATCGTCTCTTCAACTCTTGACAAATCTTGAAATTTTAAATTGTCAAGGTTTGTCTCGTAAGTTCATTCAATCATTATTTCCTTGTTGGAATCTCTCTCGAAAATTTTCAAATTCTCAAGGCTTGAAATTAACCAATTGCTTTAGTTTTGGTTGTTCTTTGAGGGTTTTGAATCTAAGTGATTGTAATTTGTGGGATGGAGATTTGCCTAATGATCTTCGTAGCTTATCTTCTTTGCAAATTCTTCATCTAAACCAAAACCATTTCACCATATTGCCTGAAAGTATTTCTCATCTTGTGAATTTGAGAGATTTGTTTTTGGTTGAATGTTTGAATCTTCGATCTTTGCCGAAGCTTCCACTTAGTGTTAGAGATGTGGAAGCAAGGGATTGTGTTTTGCTTGAAGAATATTACAATCAAGAGAAACATATTCCTTCGAGTGAAATGGGGATTACTTTTATTCGTTGTCCGATATCCACTGAACCAGCTGGAAGCTACAAAATTGATCAGCTTGGTCTTTCTGCCATTCATCTAAGGACAATGTCTCAACGTTATATCGAGGTTTGCATCTTTTTTCGTATCGTTTTTGAGTTTAGTTTCAATTTAGTCTCTTTCTTTGTATATTTTTCTATACGAGTTCTCTTTGTTGGTTAAAATTACGAGCGTTAATTTCAATTTAGTCTCTGTGGTTTTAAAAAGTTCGATTTTTGTTCTTTTAACCTTAAAATTTGCCTTTTGTCATTGAATGTTACTACCATCATGAATAAATGGACATGTATTTTAATTAGAATCGAGGGTGTGAAAAAAAAAAAAAAAATACTGAAGTGTTAGGATAACTCTCAATCAAATATACCAAAACAAATAGATTAAGTAGAAAAAACAACTTGAGGGAAGAGATCTCTCAAAAACTTAAACACTTATACTTTTCAATTCTCTTTCTTGTTGTGAATAAAATATACATCTAATGATTATTTATAGCGGAAAAAACACTAACAAATTTACAAAAGAATAACAATTTTTCTAAACTTATCCAAGTTAATACCTACTAAAAATTATACTAAAATTACTCCAAGTTAATAACTTGTTTTGCTAAGTTAAGCTTATTAACTCACAGACAGTCTCATGAGTTTTTGGGGTGGGATAGATTTGAACTAAGCTCAAACAATACGATTTCTATTGGAACGATACAAAAGCGAGATAAGATATTGCTATTGATACGAGAACGGTTAAGTAAAACTAAAAGAAAAATGTTAAGGATTTATGCCAAAGTGGAGAGAAGATATGAAGATCGTCTTTGTCTCTAGCACGTTTAAATACGGTACCACTAGCTCTTTGTTATCATGTTAAACCACAATGAACTCCAAGCTCATAGCATTAGGGTACGGTTAATTCGAAACTATCGAACAAAATCCTTAACCTAACCATTTTTTTTTTTCAGGTACTCACATGGCAACAAGAAAAGTACTTTTTTGTGATTCCCTATCCAAACTTCATAGCATGCTTTGATGATAAAAGATATGGATGTTCAATCACAGCCCATTGTCCACCAGATTACATATCTGAAGAAAATGCAAGAATTGGCATTGCTTTAGGGGCTACTTTTGAAATCCAAAACAATCAATGGAACGAGAATTCAAAGATTACTTGTGATTTCATAATCCGAATGGAAACAGATGAATGCCCTTTGAAGTCAGCCCTAGTTTTTGATGGAAACAAAGATGAATTGCAATCACCTGTGGGGCTTGTGGTTTTTTATGTTCCAATGAGAAGGATTGAAGGGTGGTTGAACCAATGTTGTTGCATTGATGTTTCAATAGTGACTGATAACCCTTTTGTGAAGGTGAAATGGTGTGGTGCATCGATAATCTATGAACAAAATGCTGGGAGTTTTATTGGGAAGATTATCAAAGCCCTTTTCGGATCTCCGGGAAAATATCATACGTCGATTGTTGATCATATTTTGAATCGTCAAAATCGTGTTGATGTTTCTAGTTTGGTGGATGGTGGAGCTCGTTACAAGACTTCGTGGTTAAATGCATTGCAAAGGTAATTCAATTCCATCTCGAGCTCGATTTTTTGCCATTTTGGACTCTCCCTTGTTGGAGTCCGACAGTAAGGGATAGTAAGCTTGATTTGTTCGACATTTGAGGATTTTATTGGCATCACTACGTTAAGGGCATAACTCTAATGTCATATTAGAAACCACAACTCTCCACAATGGTAAACTTTGAGGATAGACTCTCATGGCTTTATTTTTTGTTTCCTACCATAGAAATGTATTCCTTACTTATAAACTCATGATCAACCCCTTAATTAGCTGATGTGTACCCCTCTTCCAATAATTCTCAACAACTATCTCCATTGATATGAAATCTTTCGAGGAAATAATAAATAAAGTTGTTAGAGCTTATGCTCAAAGTGGACAATTTCATACCATTGTAGATATCCACTATTTCTATCAGGTGATATCAGAGTCATGCCCTTATCTTAAGTTAGTCATGTCAATAGAATTCTTGATTGAAGGTGTAGTCATAGAATGTTTGAGGGGAGATTTTGCTATGAAAATCACTTTCAAACATGCCTTAAAACTCTATGCGTTCACACTTCGATTTGTCTGTTAAGAATAGTATTTTTCTGCTAATTAGATAGTAAAAAATTTGGTTGTCTTGTTCTCTCTCACTCACTCACTCACTCAAATTCTTTACATTGTTAATGCATTGTGTTTAGGACAATTGGATCATTTCCAAGACTACGAGCTAGTAAACCACCACCGGAGGCTATAGAAGATGGTTCCACCAGTATGATTGCAGCTGCTGAGGCCGAGGAAACTGAAAGTGATTACTCTATCATGTTAAAACGCAACCTCAAAGCAATGCTTCTAAGAACTTTTGAGGTTTCTCTCTATACTTTTTTCTCTTTTTTCTCTTTAGCTTTTCAATTCACATAATCTTTACAATTGTTACTCTAATTGAATGATATTTAAAATGATAGAATAAATTACTAACTTATCGAGGAGCGAAAATTATTAGTAGATTTAGTAGAATAAGTTACTAACGTATGGAGTAACAAGTTTTATGCTTTAATTATAAAGATTGTTGGTCGCTCTTGACTTGAGGAGAAAGTTTAGGGAGCTAGTTAGTGCTTTCTTCACTATAGATACGAGTGAGATGCATGTTTTTTTTTTACAATAATTGAAAAGCTAAGTGTTTAAGGTTTCTTTGCTCCAAAAGATCTCTCTCCTCAAGTTGTACCTTTGCTTCTTTTACTTATTTCGCATATTTTGATCGTGGGTCACATCCCACAAGGTCAATAAGATTTTAGAGAAAAAAACAACATTACATGTTAATGTTTTTTTTTTTTTTTTTTTTAGAAATTTAAAGTTTTGAGTGNTTTTTTTTTTTTTTTTTTTTTTTAGAAATTTAAAGTTTTGAGTGATTTGTCGGTTGATGATTATTGCTGGGGAGTCCCATCTCGGCTAATTAAGAAGATGATCATGGGTTTATAAGCAAAAAATACATCTCTATTGGTACGAGACCTTTTGGGGAAACCCAAAGTAAACTCATCAGCGCTTATGCTCAAAGTAGATAATATCATACCATCGTGCAGAGTCGTGATTTCTAACATGACATCAGAGTAATGTCCTTAACTTAGCGATGTCAATAGAATACTCAAATGTTGAACAAATGGTGTACTTTGTTCGAGTACTCTAGAGAGAAGGAAGTGAATTTGGAAGATTTGTAAGTAGGTGCTTAATTTGAGGGGAAAGTTTACTAACATCTTGAACTAACTCTTTCCATTTCTTCATATAGGATCTGAAGCTTTACGGTGAATACTACGTTTTCCCTCGAAAAGAAATCTCAAGAAGTTGGTTCAATCTTCAACTAAAGAAGCCAAAAGTCACAATCAAAATACCTCCAAACTTGCATAAGGATAAGAAGTGGATGGGGTTAGCCTTTTTTGTAGTATTTGCAGTGGACGAGAACTCACCAAATGCTCATTCCTTCTCATACCAAGTGGAAAATGATGAATACACAATGCAACGAGAATCAATTCTTTACTTAACCAAAGGATTGTTCGATGATTTTCATCAACTTTGGGTGTTCTTCGAGCCTCGAGCGGTTTATCCATATCGATTAAATCAATGGAGGCATCTTTGTGTTTCGTTCGTATGCAATAATAACTCATCCTTGAAAGCAGTTGTTTGTGGTGCACGTCTAGCTTATAAACATGATGTTGAAGGGCTTATCAACACAATGATAAACAGTGTAATGGGTTCGCCAGCTGATTTGCATGAATTTTATGACCAAGTTTATGTTGAATCCATGATCAAGATGATACATTTTCATAAGTATGATCCAAAGCAAAAAGAATTTGAAAGGGAAGATGATTTGTGTTTGGAAGAGTTGACAGAGGAACAAAATTCAAATGGTTATCCTCAAGATTCAACTCTTACTTCAAATGCAATGGAAAGGAACCACCTTTTGGAGCTCAAAGAAGCAATTCCTTCTTTCCTTCAAATGGATTTGAAGGTACGTCTTTCTCTTTCTTCTTGTCTTACCCTAGAATTAGAAGTTTAGAGATTATTTGTTACAAATTTAACACGAAAATACTTCGAGCTTATTAGTTATGGTGAGTTGGGAAGGAGTGTCACGTTGGCTCATTAAGGAAATGATCATGAGTTTATAAATAAGGAATAACTTCATTGGTATGAAGCTTTTTAGAGAAACCAAAAGTAAAACCATGAGAGATTATGATTAAAGTGGACAATATCATACTATTGTGGAGGTTCGTAGATCCTAACAAGGTATCAGAGTCATGCCCTTAACTTAGCCATGTCAATAGAATCCTCAATATCGAACAAGAAAGTTGTGAGCCTTGAAGGTGTAGTCAAAAGTGGCTCAAGTGTCGAACAAATGGTGTACTTTGTTCGAGGGGTTTAGAGAAGGAGTCGAGCCTCAATTTAGGGGAGGTTGTTTAAGGGCTTCATAGACTTTAGGGGAGGCTCTATGGTGTACTATGTTCGGGGAGGATTGTTGAGGATTGTTGAGAGGGAGACCCACATTGGCTAATTAAGGGAATGATCATGAGTTTATAAGTAAGGAATACATCTCCATTGGTATGAGGCCGTTTAGGGAACCCGAAAGTAAATCCATGAGAACTTATGCTCAAAGTGGACAATATCATACCATTGTGGAGGTTTGTGGTTTCTAACATGATATGAGATTCATGCCTTAATGTAGCCATGTCAATAGAATTCTCAAATGTCGAACAAAAAAGCGTGAGCCTTAGAGGTGTAGTCAAAAGTGACTCAAGTGTCAACAAAGGGTGTACTTTGTTCGAGGGCTCTAGAGAAGGAGTCAAGTCTCGATTAAGGGGAGGTTGTTCGAGGGCTCCATAAGTCTCAAGAGAGGCTCTATAGTGTACTTTGTTCGAGAGGAGGATTGTTGGGAGGGAGGGTGTCCAACGTTAGCTAATTAAGGGAATGATCATGGGTTTATAAGTAAGGAAAACCAAAAGTAAAACCACGAGAGCTTATGCTCAAAGTAGACAATATCGTACCATTGTGGAAGTTCGTAGTTCCTAACCGTTAACATTTTCTCTCATGCAGGATCGATTTGGCACAATATTCGACTTCGTTATTCCAAGACGAAACATTCCCGAGTGGTTTAATCAACGATCTGAAAAGAATCAAACAGGCATCCAATTGCCTCCAAGTTTGTATACAAATAGTGATTGGATGGGATTTGCAGTTTGTGCACTTTTCCAAATCAACAAGCATCCAACGGCAATTCTCAACAATCTTCGTTCAATTTCAAGGCATGAACTTCTTTGTCAATTTTCAGTTGAGAATGGAGTAATCCATCCAATTCACATTCATACTATCACTGAGGACAGATTCATTTGGCTACATGAACGACAATTCCTTTGGCTCTATTACAGCCCAAGACAGACATATGGCAACATTATTCGTCATAGGTCTCATATTTGGGCTACTATTGAAGCTGATACACCAGACATGACTGTACGAGGTTGTGGACTTCAGCTAGTGTACAACCAAGATGTGGAAAGGATTGACAATATATTGATGGAAGCCATAGAATCATATTAAACAAGAAGCGTGTACAAAACCATCGTTGATTGTTTGTTCTTGTACTTATTTGACACGTTGAATTACATTTATTTTTATGGTATAAGATAATGAATTACACAAAAATTGAGTCAATCCCCTTCCTCTTTAGTCTCACTCATGGTTCTCGTAAGAATCGCACAACACATATACTCGTCCTAGATGAACACAAAGAACAGGAGAGAGAAGAGAGAAAATACAAGGAAGAATATTGACAATATTGGCTAAATGTTTATATTGTTGACTTCATGTATGTACAGTAATATATAAAATACAAAGAGAGAATATAGAGAATACAAAAAGAATACATCTTCAAATCACTGTCTCGTGGATATACATGGTTCAAGTTTCTTTATATATAGAGAATACAAAAAGAATACATCTTCCGATCACTGTCTCGCGGACATACATGGTTCAAGTTTCTTTATATAGGTTTACTAGATATAACATATATATATAGGGATATACATGGTTCAAGTTTCTTTATATAGCTCTACTAGATATAACATCGGTGTATATAGGGATATACATGGTTCAAGTTTCTTTCTAATAGTTTTACTAGATATAACATCGGTATATAGGTTTACCAAATTTAGCTTTTTACTATACATAGTTATTTACTATGTATGACAATTTACTTTATATGTCATTTATTGTATATATAATTTTATATATAATTTCATTATGTATAACCATTGAGTAAGCAAGGAGGGGACTACGTACTCTAACAATTCTCATATCCTAACAATTCTCCCACTTGAGACTGATCTGGTCAACCAAAAATTTTATTTTCAAACGATCATCAACATCTTCACTGCACTATACCAATTAAGATTTTACATAACCTCAATTTTCTAACATCAACGCATTTTGTTAACATGTCTCTTAAATTATTTGCACCATCTATCTTCTCTAAACATATATCACCTTCTTCCATTAATCTGCACGTGAAATGGTATCGTTTCTTATGTGTTTTGTATTTGAATGATAGATTGGGTTCTTCACCAATTGTATGACACTTTGACTATCTGTATAAAGAATCTCCTCGCGCAGATTCTTGCCTAATTCTTTTAGATAGTCTGTCATCCATATGAAGCCTAGACATCCAACTCATCTCATCATCCATAGCTTGCTCCCACTTGGTGTATCCTCCAACTGTACGGCATCTTCAAAGGACTTTGGCTCCCCTTCATCAGAGTTAGCAACAGATAGTGTAATGAAGGTACATACATATTTGGTATTCTGATAGTTATGGATGATCTTCTCAACACCACCTAAGGTGTCACTTGCTCTACCGTTGGTTTCTCTGCAACAGTCTCAGGAGTTTCTTGAGTATCTACTACAACATTACTAGGTGAATTTTTTCACAACTCAACCTCAACTCCCACTTGCTTCGTTGTCTTGGAATCTTGTTCCACCTCTAGTACCTCGCAATAGTCTCAGGAGTTTCTTGAGTATCTGCTACAACATCACTAGGTGAATTTTTCTACAACTCAATCTCAACTCCCACTTGCTTCGTTGTCTTGGAACCTTGCTCCACCTCTGGCAACTTGAACTCTTCTGGCAAAAGTTCTCAAATGAGAGTACTTGAGTTCTTTTCCTGTCCATACTTCTTCTAACAATTTGAACTCCAAGGGCACTGACGACCCTATATTGATCAAGTAGACTGTTGTATTAAAGCATCGGCTCAAAATGTCTTAAAAAATGAATCCTCATACTCTTTGCCCGCTCATTCAATGTTCTATCATTCTTTTAGAAACACCATTTTATCTTATTTTACCGAGAACTGTCCTTGTTAATCTAATTCCCTCCGTTGCAATAAAATGCTTTGAATTTTGACTTGTCTTACTCTCCTCCATTGTCAGACCTCATGGATTTTATTTTCAAGTTGTTTTGATTTTCAACTTCAACTTTCGACTTCTTGAAGCTAGCAAACACATTGGACTTGTGTTTCAGAAAATAAATCCACACCTTCCTGCTGAAATCATTATTTTTGTTTGCTCCTAACGCAGTTCTCACAAGGAACCATATCAACAGATTTCAGACCTTCTAAACTCCTTTCGCAGCCAGCATTTCATTCCTTTGACGCTCATATGTTCAAGTCTATTGTGTCATAGACTTGAATTTGAAGAACTCTCAACAATAGTAATCATGTTTATACATTTTGCAGTGGTGTATAAGGTTCCAGATTTTGTGCCACGTGTTACCACCATAGCACCCTTCACAATCTTCCACGCGTTCTAAAAAGCTTGAGGGGAATCCCGAAAGGGAAAGCTCAAAGACCTCGAGGGGAGTGGATTGTGAGATCCCATTGGAGAGGAGAACGAAACACTCTTTATCTGTTAGCGGTAAGTTTGAAATGTTACAATCTAGGTTTCGTCTTCTATTGTGTGAGACCAATTCAAACGCGTCTTCTTTTATATTCCTAACCTTTCTTTTTTCGGTCAGATTTAGCTTTCTTCCAAAGTGACATGGCTAATAATGCAGCTTCATTGGCACGTCACGGGGGAGACTTCATTATCTTCTCCATTCTCCAAAACACAACTTGGTATTTAACTGGGAGCAAAGATTCAACATCCTCAAAGGCATTGCAGCAGGATTACTATATCTTCAAGAAGATTGGGAGCAAGTAGTTATGCAATGTTCTAATAGACGCGGACATGAATGCCCGAATGAGTGATTTTGGATTGTCCAGGCAATACGACAACGATGAAATATCACACACAACTCGAGTTATCGACATGATACTGTTAAGAATGAGAAGTTCTGATACCATGTTAAGAATGAGAAATCAAAGTGAGATGGAAAATCCAAGAAACAGAAGTGGAATGGAAAGTCAAGTCCAATTTTGTTCCCAACATTTAAATATGATCCATACTACCCTAATAAATCCTAAAAATAAGAGAAAACATTGTTGTAGTAACCAAATTCTAGAAATAAGATAAAATATATCAAATATATGGTTAACCGAAAAATAAAGGGAAAAAATCCTAAATAATTAGGTCTATGTAAAATATATTTCAATACTCCCTTGGAGTGTGTAGTCAATAACACCCAACTTGTTTATTACCGCTATATAACACCTAACATTCAAGTTTAAATCGTCTCTATCTCTTCTCCCTTTATAAACATATGAAGATAGCAAGTTTAAATAATGTAATTTAATTCAGTTTTGTTCAAGAAAAAAAACAATAATAGAGGAAAAAAAAAAACATAAGTAGGATAGATTTGAAGTTGGTTTTAAAATTGGATATGATTCAACTAGATTTGTGTTTATATCTAATAGGTGGATGAACTCTAAAAATTATCTTCAACAGAGTTATGAACTTTCAATTTTTTCAATAATAGAACCAGATTTGAGTCGTGTTTATATCAATTTTGTCAATAATTCACATGTTTGATTAGACTAGTTTGGTTCAACCACTTTTGTTTTGTTCGATTTTAAGATTGGTAAGCTTTGATTTGCCTTCGTTTTAAGCTAATGTTGCCTTGAATAGGATTGATTTAAGTTGTTTTTAAGAATTTACTATGTTTTTGCAAGAAAAAGGGATTTGGAGAGGAGTAGGTTATTGTAACACCCGAGCTTAGGAGATATCAATGACCCTTACTTTCCTTCTTAAGATGCAAAAATATGCATAATAATTAGGTCATGTAGTTTTATTATAGGTCGAGAGACCGAGGCTCAAGTCGATAAAGAAGAAAATTATGTTCAAGATAGTTGAGGGGTAGGCACTCCTATTTGAGGAGTAGGCAATAAACTTCTAATCAGGACTTCTCGATGCTTGAGGAAGAGTTTGGGTGGTGGATTCACCCATTCCGGCAAGAAAATCTGAGAACGAACAAGGTAAAGTTATGGCCTTCTCGTTTCTATTTTACCTAGATCTTTACCTAGATCTGAGAAGTTTCTTGAGTGATAGATGTGGAATTTTTTAGGTATGTAACTAAAATAGGATTCATATAGGTTTCTTGAAGGAATTCTGGACGGAAATCGGAGTTCGGGTGAACTGGCCAAAAATAAAAAACGTGAATTTTTCAATATCTTTGAACGACTTTAATTCATTATGTATTCAAGAAAAAAATAAAGAAAAAATATGTCAACGTAGGCGAATAGAAACTACGACTTTGATGAAGAAATCAAGTCGATCTAAGTTGTGTGCATAAAGTTTCGAAAATATAAAGAAAATGGTTTTAACACATGAAACTAATTTATTCTTGAAAATTGTAAACACGCAGGAGAGAAAACCAAATGACTAGCAGCAAGAGTTTTCCCCAAAGTCAGAAGATGTGTGTTGTTGTCAAAGATCAAAGGAGACAGAATTTTCATTCAAGGCCTTCATCAAGCAATGCGAATCAATTCAGAAGTGAGGAGTCGTCAAAGAAGCCATTTAAAGCTTGTTACAGGTGTAGAAAACTTGTCATTTTAAACAAGATTGTCAAATGAAAGTGGTGTGTCATTGTTGTGGAAAGCCAGGCCATATTAAGCTAAATTGACGAGTCAAAATGCAGGAATCAGAAGCAACTGTTGTATAAAAATTCTTCATATTCAATTTGGGAATACGGCTTAACCATTGAGGTTTTTGATCAGCCAACAAACATGACTTCAGCTGTATATCAAGATGATGTCTCTACAAATGATCAAAATCCTAATTCCACTACTTACGCTTCTGAATTTGATTCCCTCCAAATTCTGCTTCTGGACTCTCTTTTTTTCTCCGATGCCAACTCTGCTACCCATGATGACCCTCTTGTTTATTCCACGACCTTGGATTTAGGATTCGACAAAAATGAAGATTTCGAGCTAACCTTTGGCGATCTTGACAGTCTTTTCCTTCCCTCTGAGGTTGACCATTTCCTCATCTCCGAAGATTTGGATCAAACTACCAATTTGTTGGACTTGCAGGCTGACTGGGAAGCTTTTGGGACGCTACTGTTCGTGTTTGTAGCTTTGCATGCTCTCCAGGATCTGGGAGCTCTGCGGTTTCATGCAAGAAGTCCCCTGATGAAGGTGAGCTTCTAAACTATCAATCTTATGAATTAAGAACCGCAGGAAGAAGCGAGTGTTTTTTGACCCATTCTGGTGGATGGGACTCAAAGAG